CCCCCCCCCCAGCCACGGCCATCCAAGAGGCTGAGGAGGAAGGCTCCTCAGCAGCCCGCACTCACCCGCAGCGTGGTGATCATGGAGGGGTCTCGCAGTCGGCCGTCCTCATCCTTGAGGTTGTACCCCTCCGGCCTCTTGTCCCGCTCGCTGACCTTCCACAGCTTCACAGTCTTATCTGGGGTGGGAGAGGGGACAGCGTCACACCCGGCTGCTGCCCGAGCCCACCGACGGACACGCCAGGGCTGCGCCAGGGGGTTTATAACAGTGAAAGTCTGCCGCAGCCCCCCCCACAACGTGCTGGGTGGTCACAGCAGGCGCACCCATTCTTCATCCCCAGAGCCCCGGTTTTCCTGTTCCCACGGGACAACCGCCCGAGCGTTTATCCCAGGTGTCAGGAGATGACCTGCCCCAGCATCCGCCACGGACTGAACTCCCCCCGCCGCTCCCCGTCCCCTCCTGCGTCCCACCCACCCTCTGCCACCAAGCCCCCAGGGGAAGGAGCGCCAGGAACATGCGGGTTTATTCTGAAAAATGGTGTTTTCTTTCCTCCCTCCTGGCTGAGACTCTCTTGGTAGTTTATCATCACTTCCACCAGGTTTCATACGCAACCACATCATCCATCTTCATTTGCGCCTTTACACGGCAACTCCAATTGAGTGCCATTAATTTTGTTTTTATTGTGAACCCACCTTACTTCAGGGGGTTTCTGTCTGTAATGCCAGCTCAACAGTGCAAACAAAAAGAAACAGCACAACACGGGAGTATTTCTAAAAGAATCGTTTTGATAACCTGGTAGCATACTAAGCACCATCCCAAATGGAAAGATAATATCCCTGTTAATCAAAAAACTATTTAAAAACTCAATTAACAGAACATTATGCTCTATAATTAATCTTCATTGCGTTTCAATGATTCTCCCCCCAAATGAGTTTAGTAAGTCTTTGAATTTTATTACAGTGATCAATAGAGTCAATTCTATAACACAAAGTAAGTTGGTTATGGAAGATAATTAGACCCCTCCTTTTCCCCTGAAGTAATTAAGTCACATCCATCTTAAGGTTCCATTCATCCCAAGTAATATTCCTGGATCCTCCTGATATTTATCTGAACGTAACCTGGAACTGCTGAGCTGAGCGCAGCTGCAAATGGAAACAAATCAGCTGCAGGTTTTATTTAAAAAAAAAAAAAAAAGTTTAAAAAAAAAAAAAAGAGATCCAAAAAATCCAAGTTGCCAGCAGGGGGAAAAGGCTCCCTCCCTTGCAGGGAACAGATGCTGCGAAATAAGGACAAAACCTCACGCATGGGAACGGTGCTCTGCCAGACGGTTCTGGCCACGTCCCTGCTCCCTCCACGCTCCCGTGCTACCCTGAAGGGAGCCGGCATCTTCTGAACACTTATTCTTCCCAAAGAAACACACCAGGGGATGTCCCATCCAGCCGTCATACCCAGGGACAGAGGGGGTGGGACAGCGGCACCGGTGCGTCCCCAGACGCCGCGGCCACGTACCGTTGGTGGAGAGCAGGAAATAGGCGGCGTTCTGCTGCGGCAGCCATCGGATCTTGTTGATCTTCTCCTCTATCTCCAGACTCTTCAGGTAATCGAACTCCGGCTCGTGGCTCTGGAAGGTGCTGTAGACATTGTACTCCCCCCGGCGATGGGGCTGGTTCTTGCTCTGTGGGAGGGGACAGGGAGCACTGAGGCACCGCTGGCGTGCATGGTGGGAACGGGATGGGAATGGAGCAGGAACGGGGCAGGAATGGGGTGGGAATGGGGCCCACCACGCTAACTGTCCCCGGTGAGCAGCTGCGACAGAGCACCAGCTCCCGTGGGCACCAAGACCAGCCCCAGAGGAGCCACCGGCAGCAGCCGCCCGCGCAGGACAGCCAGCATTTGCCTGGCCAGTGCATGGATGCAAAGCAAGATTAAAGCATCCCAGGAAGCACAGACCCTCTGCAGGAGCTGCCGCTGTGCGCCCCGGCTCAGACCTGTACCGTGTATCTGCAAACCCCAGGCATGAACCCCCCCAGCACCAGGCGCCGAGTGGGGCCGAGGTGATGGAATGAGACCTGTGGCGGAGATGAACATCCCGCAGGCAAACGATGCCTTTGGGACAGTGAAACCCCCTTGTCCCTGGAGCGCAGTCCTGCTCCAAGGCGGGAGCAGAACAGAGAACACCCGGCGTGACACTGGGAAGCGTAAAGCTCAAGAAAAGCAGCAGAATAATAAAATGAGAGAGAAATGAGAAATGAAATGCTGCTGGGAAGGCTGATGAAGTGTCTATGCGTGTAACCTTTAACCGATCGGTTCTCTCCAGCGTATATAGAAATAATTTTGAGGCTTTGAGAAAAATTTAAAACCATCATTGGACCGTGCCATTTTTCACGGCCAGGCCTGACTCATCCCTTCCACCGTCAGCACACACACGTACCGGGCAGGACGGCTCCCGCCGGCTCAGACCATGCGATGCCCCGTGTGCCGTGCTGGGCAAGCCAACCGGGGGGGGCTTCAGAAGTGGCAGGAACCACCCAGGTGGCAGGGTCCCACGCCACTCCCCCTGGCACGATGTATGCTCCTGCAGACCGTGACCTCAGAAAGGGTTTGTTAAAATCTCCTGGGGCAAAGGGTTTCACCAGGGAAACACGACTGCTCCATCCATTTGAGCTTTGCGGACCTTTGGGGGTGTGAGAGGGTTTTTGGGGTGGTGTCAGCTATGAGACAGACACTGGCAGCACCCTCCGACACGCCTGACCCACGCTGCCCGGCTGCAGAGAGCTGCAAGCAGAGCGCAAGGCTGCAGGAGATGCACCGTGGGTCTGCGGGCTGGCTCACGGGATGAGATCTGGTCCTGCTTATGCTAATAGTCGCTTTTCGGTTTGGAGCCTGCCAGGAGAGACCCGAGGTTAGGAGTGACACATACACATTAGGGAACAGCAGGAGGCTTCTCTTAAAAGGATAAAATGGGCACTTTGCATTCGCTGGCACTTACCTCCTGCTCACGCTGAAATATTACAACACGGCCCCCCTTGTCCCCTGTTGCTAGTAATTCTCCAGTGTGGTTGAATTCTACTGTGGAGATGATGTCAGCTGGAAAGAAGACAAAGACAATTTAAGTAACCGCAGCCTGGCTTTCACAGGCAGCCAGAAAGCACCATTCCCCACAGAGCTACACGCCTTGTCAGCACTCCGTCCTCTGTGGCACCTCCACAAATCTCCATTTGTCTCTTGCCTGGAAGGAACATGCCCACAGCAGCCTGGGGAACTCTGCTGTCATGAACCCAGACCTGCTCGGCACTCCTGCCCCTCGCCCCTGGCCTGTGCCCCGACGGATGAATTCAGGGGTATTTCCATCGCCGGGCTGTGCCTGTGCCAAACACAGCCTGGGGACCGCTGCTGGCCACGGGGCATGGAGCTGGGCAGCGTGGCGTGGCACGGCATGGCATGTGACAGCATGGCACGGCATGGCACGGCATGGGACAGCATGTGACGGCACAGAGCAGACGGGTGCCAACCCCTCGGTATTCTCCACCCGAACCCCCAGGCAGTGCAGCCGGGGCGATCACATCAACTCTGCCACCTTGCCCGTTGCCGAACCGTCTATCCAGGTAAATGAAAGTGGCACCTTTCAGCCCTCCGTCACCCCAGAAGCCACCAGGGTCTCACCGCTCCCCTTCCCCACACACCAAAGTGCCACCACCCAGGGGGACAGACCCTGAGCATGGACGGGTGCTCGGGTGCAATGATGGGGAGACGCAAGGAAAGCTCACGGACCTGGAACTTGTCACGGCTTTAATCCGCAGTGTTTACCCCCGAGGCAGAGCACACAGGAGAGCTGCTAATGATTGGATTTATTTGGCCTATTTTTAGAAGGATGTCAGAGGTTAATTCCACGGCAATTACTGCCCAACTGGAGCTCGCCCACCGCCTGCAGCGCGGCTCTCTGATGGCACGGAGCTGGGAGAGGGAACGAAGGAACGCAGCCGCAGAGACCCAGCGCTGGGCGCGAGATTGATTTTGCGATGAAGGGCGCTTAGCTGTGATAACAGCCAGCTCCTTCCTGCCTCGACAGCTGACAGCGTTTGCATTTCCTTCCCCTCCCCTTTCTGCAGTCCACCTGTGCCAATAGGGCTGCGCAGCCCTCACCAGCACACACCACTGCTCACCAGTGCACATCACCAGCACACACCACTGCTCACCAGTGCACATCACCAGTGCACACCAGTGCTCACCACTGCTCACCAGTGCACATCACCAGCACACACCACTGCTCACCAGTGCACACCAGTGCTCACCAGTGCACATCACCAGCACACACCACTGCTCACCAGTGCACACCAGTGCTCACCAGTGCACATCACCAGCACACACCACTGCTCACCAGTGCACACCAGTGCTCACCAGTGCACATCACCAGCACACACCACTGCTCACCAGTGCACACCAGTGCACATCACCAGCGCACACCAGTGCACACCACTGCTCACCAGTGCACATCACCAGCACACAGCGCTGCTCACTGGTACACACCACTGCCCTCAGCCCACCTGCAGCAGCTCCCCTGCCCAGGCACACCCAATCTGGCAGCCAGCGGCCGAGCCCCGGTTCTCACGGTTCACATCGTTCACGCCGTTCTCACGGCTCACACAGTTCCCAGCAGCTGCCCCTCTCCCGCTGCCCACCCGGTGGGTTGCGTGTCCAGAGCCGTGCCAAGGGGAACCCGCCCTCCCGCACAGCAAACCCAGACCAGCACCATCCCCAGTTTATTCCCGCTGTCCGCCGCTCTGTGCCTCCCCGGGGACATCCCCGCTCGCTCTCCAGATCTCTCTGTCCCCGGCAGCATGGAAGGAGCCCTGGGGTCTGTGGAGCTGGAGAAGCCAGCTGGCTGCGGGCAGGGAGCCACGAGCTCCGGGCTGCTCCTGGGAATATTCCTGCGTCCTCCCTGTGTCGTCCCACCTCTCCAGCACGAAGCACATCTGCAGTGACGTGCGAATGCATTCTGAAGTTCCTCTTAATTCATTTACAACACTTGGTCGCTGTGAATACATTCAGGGAGACTGTTTCACCGCAGATGGAGAAGGCGCTGCGGCAGCAAAACCCAAGAGGCTGATGGTGAGATCCTGTCCTGCCGAGCGCGCGGAAAGGGGGGATGCACCGGGGGCTGGATGGGCTGGCACTGGGCTGGAAAGCTCCACAGCAAAGCACTTTATTCCCTTCTGCCTCCGACTGCCTCTGTGGGCAGCAGAGTCCGACAGAAAGGCTTTAACTAGAACCTCAGAAACTAAATTAGCAAAATGTCAGTGAACAAGACATCCACCTAATATGCAGTTCTCAATCGCCACATTCAGTGAAGGCCTCCCAAAGGGCAGGACGGGGATTGTTAAACACCCGGCAAAGGCTGGCGAGGGACACCCGGAGAGGGGACATCCCGCCCGTGCTGCTG